GTTTCCTATACACAGCTGAGTGACATTTCTATGAGCCCATTCACCAATGGGCATTCTAAGTGAGATCATGTGTGTGGCAGATAACACGTACCGTCCGCTCATGGTAAAATACTTATTTAGCTCATGCACATAGTTGCTCTCCATTCTACTGTTCTATCATACGCTGCTGCGTCTTAAATTGTGCAATACCTGTAGGCACAAGCCAAGCATGCAAAGCCTGCTTGAAAGCAACCATTTGCAGAAGCTACATGATAATCTTCAGTATATTTCTTTGTACCTGACGCAAACGACTGGACAAAACTATAGACAAATAAATGTAGACCGTGCTACCTTCCAAAAATGCTTTAAATTCAGTAAATTAGGGTGCATTTGTTCAATCGGTTGACGAGTCACAGCCACGAGATATGTGAACGAAGCAATATATCTTAAGGCATGCACAGATATTCTGATTCTTTGTTTGACAGTGTCACAGATAGCTTGCCAATACATATATATCTGAGGGCAACAAGATGTGAAGCTTTTATTAGTTCAACGTCTTGTTGGTTCACAGCCAAACAGGTTACTGTTCTGTTTGACAAAGTGGAATAAGCGCACCGTGGTTTCCAAAAAAAGCATTATTAGAAGTTAACTCCCGGTGTGAATGTCTGCCTATTTATTTTGTACTGCCTTCTACATGTGCCACAAAGACATTTGTTGAGGATGTGTTACCAGTCAAGCCAAGATCGCATATACTTGGTCAATGTGATGGAAATACAAACATTAGAAACACTGCCACCTCTAGTAAGAGCATGACATTTCAGGATCTTGGAACAGCAAGGAGGTACACAAGAAAGTTAAGCCCACTCTTGCAGAACTTTGAACGCGAATTTTTCAGAGTGGGGGAAATCAACATGCTGTGGCACTTTTAAACCCATGAAACATCTGCAGAAAACAGGGTAAAGACAAGTCAAGAAACGCTGTTATGAAGGCCTGCGCATGGACACCTTTGTGAATCTAGGCCCAAGTGTTATGCTTTGTGCAAGCCAAAATCCATGTAAATAGGGAAAGCGTACTTTTAGGAGCACCAGCGTAAACAAATCTTGGCAGTTGGCTTTCTAATACAAACAGCAATCCCTGCAATGAAAACAAACACTTTATCTTAACGATAACAGTGTGAGCACAAACACGGGCCAGCGGAGCCATGTCAAATTGTCAGTGCCAGTGTAACCCTGTGGCATGACAAACTATTCTCTGGCCAACACATGCACAGTTTGCCCCTAAAAAGCGATGCTTTCATATACGTAGTACAAAAAGTCCGCACTTACCAAAATTCACTTGCTTTCTGTACTTTAGTATCGTTGGGAGCATCTTTATCTGCAGTATAACCAAATTTGTGTCATATGCCTGAAAAAAAAAGTAGTTAAAGACATGCATAAATATTGTTTCATTTGGTAACAGTGGAGTCAGGTTAAGAACAGCCAAGTGGGAATCAGCCTAATTATGTGCATGCGGCAAATTCCAAACGGCGTTATTGAGGTTGTAGAAATTTTCGTCGATTGGTATTAACGTCGATATGTGACTTCAACGGCATGCCAAGTTTTCACAGCGCATAAAGAGTTCATGATGCAGAATAATGACAACGCTAACGAGAACATACAGCATTTATGATTGTCTTTTACAATAGTCAGTTTGGCGAAGGTTTTGCATGACTAAAGAAATCTGAAAGATTTGGGTCATTCCTCCTCCAATTGTTCTGTCTATTTGTGAATTGCTGGCTTGATGGTGCGCTTATAAAATGTACGTTCAGCGCAGAGGTGAAGCAAGTGACGCAGTGATGTGGGCAGATTTTTTTTTTTAAGCGTGCGCGGAGGGGGAGGGGGGGTCCGCTTATCTGAATTGAAGGCCGGGCAAGCGAATATGGTCGTCATTATGGGCTCCCTACGCCCGGCCTAAAAAAATTCTGTGCGCAACCGCCTGGCTATGCCAGTGAAGTGATGCGACAATGGTTTGTTCACTTACTGATTTACATACACTTTACAGCTCTAAAAAATGCGGCCCAAGGCCCCAACACTCAGCCGTTAACGTTACATAAAGCCAATGGTAGAAAAGTTCCAGTATGAAGGCAGCTACAACCCCGCCCCAATGTTTTTTGAAGCGAGGTAGTGTTGCGGAAATAAACTTTTAACTGCAAAAGTACACTGGCACTGCAGTGGTGACAGGGGAAGCAAGAGGGTATGCACGCGGTAATAATAGAGGTTATTTAGTCCGATGCGGCTAGCGATGGATACGGTAAATAAGAAAGAGCAAATCATTTCTCTTTTAATAGCGCAACCACTCAACAAACTATTGCAAGAGCATTAAATGTTGCTGGAAATGCCACTCACCTGCACGCTGATGCATGCACAGTCCTTTGTCCGACGAGCGAACAGGTTTGCAGATAGCTGAAGACGGGCTTACGATGTGTTTGTTCCACCCAGCAGCAAAATCCAAAACAACTTCGCGCTCCATAAAGATAAATATACACTAACCTTCATCACGAATAAGTAGAAACGCAAATCTGCGACACACACACACGATCAAAACATAGCTCACAAGCTCGCGTGTCCATGTGCTCGCCGACCACACAGACCATACCAATATGAGTAGTGCGAACGCGATCCTAGTTGCGCTGAAAAAAAAAAAAAAAAAAACGTCGAGCAGTGGCAGCACAGGCGTCAGCGCAATGCTTTCAGTGTGTTCTCCTAATATACTTCTAAAAAAAACTGAGGTACACTAAAGCTCATAAATAAATATAAACAATTGAGTGTAATTTTTATTTAGTGCTAGTAAACAGAAACACTGAATAAGAATTATTTTGTAAATTACTTCGCTTACTACACTAGCGCCACACTTGTCGTGCGGGCGCAGATGGCGCAGATTTGTCATTCTGCCCTCAAACTACACGGTGAAGTGTGGCGACTAAGGGAACGGCTGATGAAAGGCGTGTCTGGGTCGGCTGTTTTTTTTTTTTTTTTTCTTCTCCGATATATCTGGGGGGAGGGGGGGCACTTTATGCACGTGTTTCGGTGCTTGATCGACTTTGACGCCCTTCCTTCGCGGACAAATGGCGTGTCTAGGCTTTTTTTTTTTTATCGTTGTTTTGCACGTGTTTCGGCGTTCGGTCCGCTTTGACGTGCCAACTCTCCATTCTGCTGCTGCGTGTGTTAGGTACTTGCCGTAGATGTATTCTCAGGCCTTCTGTGTTCAGCCAGAGCTGCTATCTTATTATCTGCGGATGCTAAAATAAATCACTGTTTTGGTTTGGTGAAGTTTGGCACACAGAACAAACAATAATCTGGCCCATGAATATCAATGTGGGTGGCATGCATATTTGTGTGCGGTGTCCTGCCGGGGAGTAACCGTTGCGTGACGAGAGCATTTACAGCGGTTCCTCCTTCCGTTGTTCCCTTACAAACTTAAGATGAATACAGTTGCTCCCCCATTCTCGAACAAGTCGGCCATCTTGTTCCGCTTGGTCTTTTCGGAGAGTAACAGTCGGTCTGAAGGAGTAAAAACAGCCGTTGCTCCCATTTCGGCCGTTTTTGGCTTAGAGTGTATATGTACTTCGCAAAGTCATTATTTACCGATCAGCTGACTACTGTCCTCCAAGATCAATCGCAGAAAGCTTTTCTCGGTGCAACAGGGAATGCTGTGTGATTCACACGCAAACGCGGCGTTTATGGTTCACCTCCGCGCAGACACAACGCCCGCGAGGGTTGGCGGGCACACATGCGCGTTAACTTGTAGCACAATCACCGAAGATAAGTGATCGTGCGGCGCAGTGCATACAATCTCCGCTTGTCCCCGCGGTGAGGTGTACACGTGTTGTTCATACGTGGTTTATGACTACTCCGTGTCTTGTGTGATCCTTTTTTCTTTCTTAAAGAAAAAACTGCGAGAAGAGCCACATATATGTTGGCGGCATATTGTACCATGTGTATAAGCGAAACAGAGTTTACTTGAAATACCGCTCAACTAGATCGAAGATATGCGTTACATTAAACGGTCACTTCTAAACGGTCTTGTAGCAGCGATATAGCCTCACATTTAGAGGAGCCGCATGAACTTAGGCTGCTTAGCCATGGGCCACATAAAAAAGAGCCTCATAGCCAAGGGCCGCATAAGAAAGCCGTATAAGTGGGTCGCTTAGAGATCTACTTATACGCGTCGGTAATTTGACCTACTTTCCGCCTTATATGCGCTGTTTTAGGCGGTCGTTTGCTAACAGCGATATATAATCAGATTTCTTGAGGAAATCCTCTTCTGCAAGCTTGCACGCTAACGCAAATTTGAAACCTCTTCCGCAACGCATAATTAACTGGCGACTAAAATTTTTCTACCAATGATATAATGGTCACTTCCGCATATCACATTCTCGTTACCTGCTAGACCCCACTAAACACTGAATCCGACTGAACCATTCTACAACAATAAACCAACTTAAATTTAGATCGTAGATTTCCTTGTTTTTTTTTTGTCAGCCATTGAATACTGGAACAGATTAGGAAATAATATTGTGTGTTGTTGCGCCGTTAAATCATTCATGAACTTATTACAATGTGCCCGCTTGGAGTTGTTAGCTGTTGACAACGTGTCTATTTGCTTGTTATTTCGTGTATGTATTCTGTTTTCGTAGGTATTTTCATGTCCCTGCTCCTGCAGCAGCTCTTGAGCGCTTGCAGTACTATGTCCAAAAGTTATTTCCGTATTCAACCACTGTATAAGTCCCCCTTTCGGGTCGGGCAGTATATATATATCAAAAAAAGTAAGCGGTCGACAGTTTTTCGCCGACGATTTCGGGAAGGAGCTCGTGAAAGCGGCGGCGAGGAGGTGGTGTGGGCGCCGCGAATGAGCGGCGGGGCGGTCCCACCGTGCTGTACCGGAAGCGGGCGCCCATGTCACGTGATTCAGAGGGTGGTGCTTGCGTGAGCCAATGTGCGTGCAGCGCGTCGGAGCGCCGAAAGATGCGAGTCGCGCGAGCTCGTGCGACGATGGTGCTCCTCCGCAGGCGGCCCTGAGGATGCGCCACGACCCCCCCGGCACGGTCCGGTGCTCCGCGCTGCTGCTGCTGCTGCTGCTGCTGCCGTGCGCGGTGCGAGGCTGCTCTCCCGGGCCCGGCGGCGGCCGCCGGCGCAGTCCGCGCAAGCTGACGCCGCTGGTGTTCAAGCAGCACGTGCCCAACGTACCCGAGAACATGCTCGCGGCTAGCGGACTTCCCGAAGGACGCGTGGATCGCGGCCACAAACGGTTCAGGGACCTCGTGCCCAATTACAATGCGGATATTGTCTTCAAGGACGAAGAAGGAACTGGAGCCGACAGGCTCATGACGCAGGTGAGCTTGGCCTACTTGAGGCGAAAAGGTACTTATTTTTTAGCGTGTTTTCAGATTGCCAATAAACTGTGCCGCTCAATGCCATGTGATTCATTAACACTGACTATAGGGCACTGAGCAGGTACCATCGTCAAGGAACTAGAATGGTGAGCGCGGACAAATATCGATGGCAACTTTATTCTCGCGTCTTACCGCCTACCTTCGTTAAACTTGCACTGACGCTCATACAGAGGCAACATTTCAAAGCATCTTAAAAAAAAGTGACATGTCAAGTAGCGCAAACGAAACACAAATAAAGAATGAACTGTGTTTTGAGCAACAGGTGTGCAGGTGTTATATAGAGTCGTGCGATGACAGCCTAGTTGGGTCACTTTGAATTGAAGCAGCAGCAGCGCGGAGAGGGTATTGAAAGCAAGGCGATAATAAATACCAAAGGCAAGCGTATTACCTTAGCCTACACACCTATTCAGGTTCCACTTTAAGTGCTACATATAGCCAGGAACCGGACATTCTTCCTTTGGTTTCCTCGACTTGATTACGAGTGTGCAGAACATGTTTAGCATGCTGTTTTTTTATAGAGTACACAGATTTCCGAAATAAAATTGAATTGTCGGTCGACGCTTGTCTTGTGGTGTTTATTTTCTTGTTCTTATCTCTTTGCGCTGCTTTAAGTAGTATTCGAGCAATAACAGCTTTTGTGCGAAACTTTTTTTTCGTCAAGCAGAGATACATCGTCAACGTAAAGTAGTTCAAATAAATTTTTAGGAAAGCGCTATGCGATCTCGAGCAAGTCTACTCTGCACCCGAAATCTGATAGAAACTTAACAGGCGCTGTGGTTAAAACATCGGCCCCGTATCTGCATGTTACACTGCAAATTTCGTCGAAAGACAATAGTCTTGCGTCTGGAGAGAGTTAACAAAACGCTTATTTGATGTTCTGCGTTAGCAAATTGCTGAATGGTATGCTGGAGGCACTGCGTTAGAGAGCCTCGAGCGTGCAGCGGAGGTGAACGAGCACATCGAGTCAAGTCACACGTAAAACATGAGCGCTATCTGGCAGTTATCTTGGAAAACGAAGGGTGCGGTGTGCGTGCCCATGTCGGAGGCGATAAGGTATAGAACGCAAAGCGACTGGTAGGTGCCGCCACCATGTCGTCTTAGAAAAGTGTTGGAAACACTTGCCTTTTAGTGCAAGTGTAGCAGTGTCATCGCGGCTCGATAAACGCTACAGCCCTTAGAATTACCTATGTATGCCTCTTCTAGTATAAAGACACATATACAGAATATAGACGTGTTGTTATGGTGCCTCATATACGCGCAATAATTCGTTTTCAATTCACAATTGCACAAGTATGAACACTAAAACTTGATCAATATTGGTGGGCGCTGTGGATGGTGTTGGCAGTTTTGGGTAACGCTTGGTGCCGTCTGCGGTATTGTTGAGGCCGGACAAACAGACATACATACATACATACATACATACATACATACATACATACATACATACATAAAGTTTTGCGTGGAAGGTGTCCAAGAAAGACTGTCGTCTTTAAAAAGAGGGGTCTTATGTACTTCTGCTTTTGTTGCGCACCACAAAATACCGCTCTACAATTTGGGGCGGAAAGACTTGAGCTAAGCATTAAGTGCAGACATGAGAGCACTCTTTTGATTTCTGGCACCTTTCAAGGCGCGTCTCAGCTCCCGCAAACGATTTGGTTTTTCGAAACCATAGGACTGTAATTTATGAATCTTTAACATTTTGTGACACACCGGAGAAGTGGTGTGGTGTCAATTGCGGTAAATAGAACTCTGATGATTTTGATTGGTTGAGATAGTGAGCGCTATGTCAATTCACTTCGTAGAGACTGGCGCTTGTCAAGCAATGGAAAGTGCGCTGGTTGTCGATCTGTCACAATTGTCATTTTATTGTCAATATGAACTCTGTGCAGTAAACGTTTCTACTATACAGGGTGCCCCACATAACATGAGCCAGGAATTTGAACATGAAATACACTTCAGTGGCGAATTGAACCCAATGCGTATTACTCGCACTAGCCTGTAGATACTCCGGCTATTTTTTTTCCATGCTAACGATTATTTATTTTAATTACCTATTTTTGATTATGAGCTGGAACCCCGAAATATGAACACTGAGATGTAGAGCACGTTCACAAGCCACGGACAAAATTGTTCCTGTACGATAGGTCTAGCGCTGTTATTTTTTCCGCGCTGTAAAGAAAATGTTGGATGCAAGGGAATGACGGGATACGTGAGTTTCGAACGTGTCTCGGATTTGTATACCTCGCAGACGCGTCTGAAAGTGCTGGATGCAAGAAAATGATGCGATACGTGAGTTCCGAACGTGACTCGAATTTGTATACCTCGAAGACGCATCTAGCTTCACGTTAAAACGTTTTCTTACTCAAAGAGCACGTAATAAGCTATTTATTATTGTGATGGTACTTATATAGACACTCTCGGCTGGATTTCGCCGCCGGTGTCGACGTCGGCGTCATTCACCGTATATGAATACCTATCTAAACGTATAAAGATACCGCGGTTATCTATGGCTAAGGTGCTCGGCTTTCGATCCGCAAATCGTGGAATCGAATCCCGACTGTGGCGGCTTCATTTTCGATGGAGGCGGAAATGCTGTAGGCCCCTGTGCTCAGATTTCGGTGCACGCTAAAGAACCTTAGGTGGTGGAAATTTCCGGAGTGCTTCACTACGGCGTCTCCCATAACCATATGGTGGTTTTGGGACGTTAAACTTCACATATTGATCAATCACATAAAGATAAAAGAAAAAAAAAACCCAGTGAAAGACTCTGGCGCGCGTAATCGAACTCTCGTCCCTTGAATCGTGAGTGTGGGGCGTTAACCACTGCGCCGGCAAGCTATTTAAATCTACCGCTTACCGCTGCTGACGGGCATCTCAGGGGGAATGCTGTTTTCAGCATTATTAGCAAAATGGCGCAATGAGCGTGCGTCGCCACATAGCGTGGCGGTGCGTACTCCAATCTTCCACGCGTATTTTGCTCCGCTTAGTTGCGTATTTTGCCATGTTTTGCCCCCTTATCTCGCGGTGGAGAAGAAGGAAAGATCGTACCTCTTGGCTGGCCTCGGGCTTTACATGGAACGATTATGTTATAGTTACCGGGCGCACAACTGTCACTGCAATCATTGCAGTTTCCGCTTGCGATAAGCGTGCACTTTTCAGACCAAGCGAAGTAACAACTGAGACGCTCATTCACATGCACGTGTACCTGTGAGTACGTTTCGTGCGTCATTTGTGCGTCAGAAACGTGGGGACGTTTACATCTGCTTTCCATTCCGCGTGTGACCTCATATTGATAAGAAGAGAGAGAATAAAAATGAGGGAAAGGCAGGGAGGTTAACCAGAAAACGGAGCATCCGGTTTGCTACCCTGCACTAGGGGAAGGGGGAATGGGGAAGAAAGATTGGAAAGAAAGCGAAGAGGGAAATAGACGTGCGCGAAAGAAAAAAAAGGGAGGGGGGAGCTGGGGTGCTACAGTCTATACAATAGGCCGCTGCCACGCAAAAAAGTTCAGTAAGGCCTTCACTGATTTTCTGTGAGCACACAAATCATGTCGTCTTTCCAGCACTGATTGTTCACACAAAGGTCTGTCGTCAAGGCGAGCTAACGCAGCAGCTAGTTGCCGTCTTTGCACGCTGTAACGAGGGCAGTGACAGAGAACGTGCTCTATAGTTTCATCGCTGCCGCAATGGCCGCAAGCAGCACTGTCTTCCATGCCGATTCGGAAGGCGAAAGCTTTGGTGAAGGCGACACCAAGCCATAGTCGGCAAAGCACCGTTGTCTCGAGTCGGGAGAGTCCAGACGGAGGCCGGAGTCGACGAGACGTGTCCAGTCTACGCAGTCGCGTGTGCCGTAAGCACTCGGTGTTCCACAGGGATTTTAATTCTGCATTAGCGATTTTTCGGATGGTCATTGCAGCATCAGTCCTTGAAAATGGTATAGATTTTTCTTCAAAAATGACCATTGTGGCAGATGGACAACCAGCGCGCTCTCCATTGCTTGACATGCGCCAGCCTCTACGAAGTGAATTGACAGCGTATACGCTTTCTTATACGTTTCAGTGGGGCGACATGATTGCGAGCCACGCTGCAGAGTAATTGTGGTCATCTCGAATTTATTCAACTTGCTGCACATCTTGCTGTTCATCCCCGTCGGAGTGGGGCTACCACAGCCGAGAATCAAACTCATCTTCTAAGTAAGCAGCGCGACAACATAAAAAACTACATCAAAGCTTGTACGTACGTGCGCTGGAGCGCAGGCACCGTTGGCGGTTCCACTGAAAGAAAAATCAGTTTTTCATTGTTTTACATCGTTCATGCTACTTCCGTCATTTATTTTAAGCGTGAGGCAAGCAAAAAATGAACGCTGGTAGCGCAACGGCGTTTGAAGCGAGCGAGCGCGTTATGTACACGCGCGCCACAGCAAGATACGAAGTGTCCGGGCCATGACGTCTTGCAAGCCTCCCACCAGGTGGCACCACTGCAACTTCTCGGGGCTAACTGCTATGGGAGAGTGAGTGTCAGCGGAGAAATAACAGCTGCCAAGACGCAGACAACGCCGGATGCCTGACATAGGCCTACTAAGAAATGCATTCAAATTTTAAAAAACGCGTTGCCGTGCACACTACACAGGAAACATGAATTTCGTATTCAGCAAACGCGGCTAGGCACATTGAAAACTCAGGAATGGTATGCCACGTTTTCCGCGGGCAAAAAAAAAAACTTTACGGTTTGCAAGCACCGGAGTTACCATCGAGCACAAAAATACCTTTCTGTCTCAAATTCCGTCATCGTGCGTACGGTGGCGCAACCAGACCGGTGAATGTGCGCAGTTGTTACTACTCGCACTGTCTGCAGACGGTCGCGCCGCACAGCGGACAGATAGAAAAATGCCTCGAGGCGGATCACGTTGCTAGTGTGGGCCCCCAACACCCATTATGCAGA